CCCCCCGGGCCCACCCTTGTAGCGTCGTGGTTGTTATTTTGCCAGCCAGGCCGGCCAGGCACCCCCGGCCGCGCGCGAGTGCATGTTGCGGCGAGCGCGCGTGCCGGACATGTTCGTCAGTCCGATCGGTCTGGCGCGCGACTTCACGCGCTTCAGTCAGAGTCGGCCCGGCCGAAAGAGCCCCAGAGCGCGCGCCTCCGTGCGAGATAGTGCCGGGGAGGGGCGGGGGCGGGGGGGGGGGCTTTGTTTTGGCCGGCCTCCTTCCTGGCTGGCCAGCCTGCGCCGGTGCCGCGTCCTGCTGCCAGGCGCGTCTACCCGCTCGCGAGGCAGGCGGGCAGCCCCCCCCCCCCCCCGGGCCGGCCGGCTGCTGCCTTGCCCCGGCGCCTTTCCCCCGGGCGCCGGGGCGTCGGGCGGCTTGATGCAAAAGGCCGCGCCCCCTCGCGCGGCGCGGCCAGCTGGACGACCGCACTGGGCAGGGTCCTGCCCGTGTGCATATGCCCTTCCCCCTCGCATGTGGGGATGCTCCCCCTCCCTCGGAATCCCGGCCCGGGGAGCCTGGTCAAGAGGGGCGGGGGGCGCGCGCGCCCTGACGGGCGGGGCCCCTCACGCTGGCGGGCTCGGGCTCCCGGGCCTGGGGGCAGGTGTGTCAGGGCGCAAACAAAGGCCCGCTGCGCGCGCGCGCGCTCGCCGCACGCGCCCGCCGCCTTCTTCGGTGACACCCCCCCCCCCCCCCGGCCGGGCGTGTTTGTTCCGGGAAATCCTGCCAATGCGTGCCCGGCCCTTGCGCCCCCCCGGCCCCACACGGGGGCACCGGTGCTGGCACGGGTGCGTGCCCTGCCGCGGGCGTAGGGGCGTTCGCGCGGTGGCCGTTACACCTTCGCCTGTCTGCCGGTCCCCGCCCCCTGGCCGCTCCCCTGTGGCGCATCTGACGGGGGAGGCACCGCGGCGGCCGGCCAACCGGGAGCCGCCGAGTCTGCCGGAGGGCGCACCGGCGGCGGCGCGGAGCCTGCCCGGGCGCGCCGGCGATCGGCGGACGAAACTCGGGGCAGCGCCCCCCTGGCAGCGCGCCCGGGGCGTGTGGGGGCCAGCTCGCCGATGATATTAACTCCTGCGGGGCCTTCGCGCGGGCGGTGCCAGGGTCGGGGCGACAGGGCCGGCCCGAGCGCGGCGGTGGAAACGGGGTGCAGGGGACGGGGACGCACTGGGGGGGCGGGGCGGGGCGGGGCGGGGCGGGTGGGACGCACTCACCCGGGGCGACCGGGGACCGTCCGTGCGCAGATATTCGGCGGAATTTCACCCGCGCACGGTGGAATGTGCGCTGCGGGGCCGGTCTAGAATATTTGAGAGCCTCGTCCCCTGCACGCACCGCGTCCGCCGGCCCGTCTCCCCCGGCCCCTGCGCATGTGTCTCAGGCTCCTGGTCGCCTGCGCTCGTCCTCTCGCCGAAGGCGTCGTGCGTGCGTGCATGCGGCGTGGGCGCGCGGCGCGTCCCACGGAGACGGCCGTGCGCGCGCGGCGAAGAACCAACCCCGGGGGGGCAAGGGGTGGGGGGGGGGGGGGGGGGCGACGGAGCCCGGCTAGGAGCCCCGGCAGTCTTCCCAGGCTGGCCTATTGGGTGGGGGGGCATTTTTCTCATCATTTTCGGCCCACATCCCTGGGCGCCGACTGCCCCCCTCCCCCCTCCTGCCCCCCCCGCCCCCGCGCGCGCGCGCGTCTAGCGCGCAGAAAGAGGGAGGCCAGGCGGCGGGGGAGCGCTACTTGTCCAGCGGGCCTTCTCCGCCTCGCGCCATTGCGCCTGGTGCGCGCGCGCACCAGGGCGTCACCCCCCCCCCAGCACTCTAGCGTCTCCGATCATGCATTTTTACTAATGCACAGATGGAGAGCCCACGCACGGCGCACAGACGCGCGCACGCGCAGGGCCTGCTACCTCAGAACGTCCCCCGAACGCCCGGCCTGGCCGGACGCATGCGATTGGTCAGGACCCGGATATGCCTCGTGTCCCTGGCCGGCTTTCCGGCGCCCGCGGCTGGTCGACTTGCGCGCGAGAGGGGGCAAGGTAGACAGACATGCTTGGGCACCCGGCGGAGTTGCCCGAGAGCCGTTATGCGGCGCCGGCGAGATTTTCTTTCGGCCAGCCCCCGGGGCTCGGCCCGCCTCCCTTCGACGCCGGCCTCCCGCGCTCTCTCCCTCTCCCCTCGAGCCCTCGGCCAGGAACATTGCGCACACTCACAGGGCCTCTTGGCTGGTCTTCGTGCGGGGCCGCGGGCGGCAGCCCCACAGGCCGGGCCTCCGCCCTGGGGGCTTCCCCCCGCTGGCCGCCGGTATGCGAGCCGGGGCGCGTGACTATCCACCCGCGCCGCCTCGGCAACTTGCTGACTGCCGTCTCCCGCTCCCGCTCCCTCTGGCCACAGCGCGCCGCTCGGAAGAGCCCCCGTTGCGCGCTATTTATTTCCCGAGAGGGGCTCACGCCCCTCATCCCCTCCCTCGGGGAACTGGGTGGAGGGGGGAGAGTACACGTCCGCACTTTGGGCGGCCCAGACACGGGGGCCCCAGGCTAGAGAGCACCCTGGGGGAGGGCTGGGGGGCGGGGGG